TGGTGGTGGATCTGGGTCAATGAAATCGTTGACAACATCCGTGTTTCCCCCGTATCACGTTGCCTCTTGGTGCGGTGGTGGGAAGTTCTGCTTTCTTGGTGTTGACTTCTAATCCATAGTGAAGGCTTTAGTCCTGGCTGTTCTGCAGCAAGTGTTTCCAGTCCTCCGCACTTCCGACAAGCAGGCTTGTGTCATCTTCATACCACAGATCGTTCATTTTGATGCTGTATTCTTTTTCAGAGTCCAGCTTCTCAAATTACTTGTTCAGCACACAGATTGATCAGTATGGAGAATGGATACAGCCCTGACATGCACTTTTCCTGATTTTTAAACTATTCCCTTGTTCTATCAGGACAACTGATTCTTCATCTGCCTGGGGACGAGGCGGGCTCTGGTTAGGGTCTTCTGCACTGTGTCTGTGTATATTTCCTCATGTTTAGTGTGCATCGTGAACCGTGAAGCACGCCGCGACCATGTGGAAGGGCCGCCACCAATGCTGCAGGGATGCATCATGCGGGGACAGGCTGCACGCTTATCGTGTGTGGGGACCGAGGCTGCAGCTGTGGCCGCTGTCATTTCCAGCGTGGGCACCAGTGTGGGGTTAAAGAGCTGATCGGTGACAGTGTCACTGAGGCTGGGTCAGCAGTGCTGTGGACACCTGGCATTTCTAGCCTCTCATTGCATATAGAAGATGCAGCTTTTCTGTGAGGTCCGTGACCTGTGTGTGTCCTCCTCAACTGTGTAGGTTGTGGATAAAGCTTCTGGCCAACAGTCGACTACTGGTTATTACGTTTTGGGGAGCAAAATGTTTTCAGCTTTGTGGGGGGCTAGTGCACATAGACCCCACGATGTTCAAGAACAAAACCAAAATGCCCACCTCGTTTGGGAATTGACTCGTAGCTCACAGCGGGCTCACTGGAGGCCATAAGTCACACGGGAAGAGATTGCCTTTCTCTCAGGAGAAGCTGCGGGCGGGTTCAAACCGCCAGACAAGCTGTGGGGCACCAGCCTTCCCACGAGGCCCCCTGTGTCCCCTTTGGCCCAGCTACCACATCTTCGGTTCAGCTTCTTTGACGGCTGGAGACCCCAAGGCCCCGGAGAGCGGGTCCAGGTGGCTGACAACACGTGAAGACGCTACCTTCCTGCTCCTGCGCCGGGGGCCTGGACAGCACAGGTGGGCTCGGCCCGGCATGACCTTCCCCACATTCCTCAGGGGACTCGGGGTGTCGCCAGCCATACTGGGCACAGGGGGTTCGCCACTGCCTCTTCTCCATCACGTGCCATGATCTTAGCCGCTTCTCTGAGCCTCATCTGCTCATGCAGATCCCAGCATGGCAATTACCTTAAAAACCCGCTTTACCGTCAACGTTGAGCTGTTTCTCCCAGAAGCCGCTTTGACCACACCGGCTGTTCCATGCCACTCTGGTTATGGAGCCCCGGTGGGCCACGTGCTGGGCCGTTCATCCAAAGGTCAATGGTTTGAACCCACCAGCCACTCCTTGGAAGAAAGGTGGCAGCTTTGGGTCCTGCAGGGCCACCGTGAGGCCGGACGCACCTGGCGGCCTTGGATTAGACCCTTTGTCACACTCATATGTCACCAGGCTCCGTGGCTGAGTCCTCCACGGCCCGTGGCTTCACACCTAGTTTGCTGACTGTCCAGATTTCGTGTTCCTCGGGAATCGGGGAGGATTCTTCTAAATCCGGAGATTGTCCTTGCTGTTACAGACACATTCTGGGGTTGCTCACTGGGCGGACACCTCTGGTTTGATGCGGGGGTCACTGTGGGCTGGGGTGGGGACCCTGGTGGAAAATAAAGCCAAGTGATGGTGCCTCTTAAGCGGCAGATGAAGGAGCCTCCGCTGTCACCTTCAAGTGACTGGCAGAATGGCTCTCAAGTAAAGGGTGTCACTTGTGTGTACTGCACGCTTTTGAAAAGCCACCTGCGTGAGACCCAACGGTCAACAATGACTGGAAAACAGGTGGAACAGGAAGGGGCAGGGAGACTAGATGAAGGGAGACAGGGCCACCAGAAAAGAACGGGCTTGCCACAGCGTGGGAAGGACGCAAGCAGCACGAAGCGCATGTGCGGACGGCTGCCTGGGAAGGAGGCTGCCCACGAGCCTCACTGAAGCCGTGCTGAGCTGTGGTTATGGATGCCGGGCACTGCCGAGAGCTGTCCTTTGAGGGCTGGTGGTCTCGAGGCACCAAGCCGCATCACCATTGTGGCATTCCTGCCTGAGCGCCCCGGCCGTGGCTGCACTGAAGAGGAGTCTTTGCAGGCTCGGCACCCCGTGAGGGGTCATTTTCCATTATTTTCCTTATCATCATTATGTGAATTACACAATTATGGTGCTGACAAGTACCCAGAGCCCTGGGAACAGGAAGGCCGCTGTGCCCTGGCTGTGTAATTGCGTCTCAGGCCCGGGGAGGGGCCAACTCGCCGGCTCCCAGCGTGGCCCGGACAGGGGGTGAGGGGCCGACACGCGGGGAAGTTCTCTCTTATGCTTCGGCCTTCTGAATGCCTACACATCCGGCTTCCCAACTCTGTCTTCTTGCGTTCCCGTGGAGACCATGAACGGGCTCACCTGCACACAGGAAGGCGGGGGTCCGAGTTCACCAAGAGGTGCCTCGGAACAAAGGCCTGGTTTCTGCAAAGTCCACCACATGGACCACACATGGACCGTCAGTCACACCTGCCCTGCTCACCAGCTCTCCACACACCCCAGGGACCCAGGCCACAGCCCCAATTCCCCACGGGCTCTGTTCAGATGGCTGTGTTGTGAGGAGGCTCTGGTGGAAGGTGACACTTTTTAAAAGAAGTTTTCACTGTTATTCCCGTTAGACATCAGTAGCCTTTTTTTGTAACCTGGTCTTTGCGTGCGCATTGGGGGACGTAAACATCAGCAAATGACTGTTGCAGCACTGCAGGTGTGCCGTGCGCTGACGCACCCACCGCCATCGGGCCGGCTCACGGTGACCCTTGCGTGTCCACAGCATTAAACGTTAGCAGCAGCAGACTTCTGGATCCTTCCGCTGGGAGCAGCTGGTGGGTTCAGTTATTGGCCCCCCATGTCATCTGCTGTGCACAGCGCTCCTTGCTAAAGGTCAGATATGCCAGCAAACCCCCCAGTCACAAGTGCAGTTCATTGTCAGGCTAATACATCACATTATGGGAAAATATATATAATATGTTGTGAAGTGCCGTCAAGCCGTAGGCGACTCACAGCGACCCTATGAACGAGAGACCTGAACTCTTGTATAACTTCCATCATTTCTCCAAGTTCATAGTTTATGAAGGCAAGCTATTTCAGAAGTGGATGCCACTCCTGCTTCCAAGCTTGTTTTAATAGGGGAGCTCCACCAAACACTGTCCACCATGGGTGACTGTTAGCAAGACAACATTCCACCCTAACCCTCACCGGAACCAGCAAACCAACCTCAGCAGAACCCGGCTGCTGCAGACAACTTCCAACCTGGATTCCAGCCGATGTGATATATGATATGATATATGATATATATATTGTGTATCTGGATGCTTTGTCTACAGTCTGGCTGCCCCGTGAGGGATAGTTTACCGACTTGTATGACTCAGTGTCCCGAGTGCTGGCTTCAGGGAGTTGGGTCCAGGCATCTGGGTTCTCCAGACACCTCTCTGCTCCCATATGGGCAGTGTGTGCACTCAGCTACACATCCTGCCAAGAGTCCCAGCAGCTGGGGACACAGACGGGGTAGGGCCTGGCATCCTAGCAGCTGGGGACAGTGTAAGGGGCTCGGAGTTATTCTGGTGTGGATACTGAGGGGCCTGGCACACATGCTTCTATCCATGGGCCTAGGAGGGACAGAGGGACAGGGAAGCCTCATTTAAGGCAAATCTGTCAGACACCCTGAGAGCGAAACACTGAGAGAATGCCTTTGGGGGTGAGGGGTACCCCAAGAGCATGTCCATGCCAGGCCAGCTCTGCAGGAGAAATGTGCTCCCCAAGACCCTCTGAAAAAGCATAAGGACTCCCAGTCTGTGCACATGTGAAAAACCCCAAAGCCCCTTAAGTGCCACGTGGATGGGCGCCCAGGCCCATGGCAGAAGCACCATATCCAGTCTGCATGTCGCCCTGGCCCAGTGCGTCCCAGGAAGGTGGGGTGGAGAGAGGACAGAGCTCTGTGAGGGGGGAGGTACAGCTGTGATGTGGCCCACCGGGGACAGTGTAACTCAGGGAGGCGGGTGCAGGGTTTCAGGACAGTCTACTGCACTGGACTCCGGCCCACACGACCCCACCCAGCCTCTGCGCTTCAGACACTGGTGTCACCCGTTCATCTCAATACACTCAGCGACCCCACACCTGGCCTCCCTGTACCCAGTGTGCATCCCTGCACCCGGCCTTCCCGCATCCAGTGTGAGTCCCTGCACCCGGCCTCCCCGCACCCAGTGTGCGTCCCTCCACCCGGCCTCCCCGCACCCAGTGTGAGTCTCTGTACCCACCTCCCCACATCCAGTGTGAGTCCCTGCACCCAGTGTGCGTCCCTCCACCCACTTCCCCGCACCCAGTGTGCGTCTCCGCACCCAGTATATGACCGGCTCCACAGGCTGAGGGTGGTGGGCGGCATCTCCCACTCGCCTGCACTCACTGTGACTCCTTGCCCTGTTCTGACCATTCTCACAGTGTTCTGGACCTTTCCATCATGCTGGTGCACACCAACCAGACCACACAGTCTAGGACAACCACAAATTCACACACGCAGGGGTGGCCATGACCCCTTCAGCCAGCTTCACTTTATTGCCGCCCAGCTCTGCCCGCCCCGTGTCCAGCCGAGGACCGGAGAGTTGGGGCTTGGCCACAGAGCCCTCCACGCCCCCTGTGCCTCCCGCCCTGGTCAGCGCCATCTCACTCCGCTGTCTGTGCTCACATGGCCCGAAGACCTGCAAGGAGTGGGCCTTGCACGGATCAAGGCCCTCACAGCCCAGGACATGGGATGGAGGCCCCGGGGCCCCACCAGTCACCAGCTCACTTGTCCCTTGAGCACCGTGCCAGCTCCACCTGCAGAGACCGGGTGCCCAGCTGGAGGCCCTGCAGGGCGGTTACGGCCTGCTCAGCCGTGGCCAGGTCCTGGTAGATGAGAATCGCGGGGCGCCGGGGACCCTGCCAGGTGAGCCTCAGGGGCGCAGCACCCCGTTCCCGGAGGGCCTGCTTCAGCTCACTCACACGGGCACCTACTGGAAACCCCCCCACGTGGACGACGGCTGTCCGAGGGGCTGCAGCGTCAGGAGGAGGGCCTTGTCTGTGTTGGGGGTTGTGGGCTGTGGACACTGAGCCCTCTGCAGGCCAGGGCGCATGCTGGGGCCTCCGGATCCTGCTCTCGGAAGCGGTGGGCTTGTGGCCAGCTTCGCACAGGTGGGCGCCATGGGCACCAGCCGGCCGTTCCCGCTGGTACAGACTCCTCAGGATGGGGATCCGCTGGAACATCTCGGGGCTGATCTGAAAGGACAAGAATGTCCGCTGGTCTCAGTGCTGTGAGGGGCGCAGCCAGGCACGGGGCGCTGGGCCTCAGACGTGCATCTCACAGGCAGAGTTGATGTGAGTGGTCAAGGGGCCTGGACATGAGACCCCACAGCTATGAGCGGGGAACCTGGCCCCATGGTGCTGTCCAGGGAGGTCAGCCCGTCTCTGTCCAGCCCCGGGGACAGAAGGAGCCACTTCCCTCAAGGCCCAGGAGGACATGCCAGAGCGGGGTCCTCCCCACCCTGCCCTGTAAAATGACTGAGGTCACTGGGCTTAGGGTCACAGGACAGAGATGACCACTGCCCTGTCCCCTCATGGGCAGCAGGACAGTGGGCTGTCTGCCCCCCCCTTGTCCTGTCCCCCTCCCTGCACCTGGGGTACAGTGGGAGAAGATGAAGTGTCATCCTCCCTCCCCTCCTGGAGGGGCGCGTCCAGGCCAGCCTCCATCACGGGCAGGACAGAGCACACGGGAAGGGGCTGGCACAGCTCCAGCAACTCCCAGCAGGATGACGTGGGCGCTGTCCGCCCGCAGTCCCTGCCTCCTGGGCTGGTCCATGCAGCCAGACGCCATGTCTAAGGAGGAAAGCCATAGAGAGCTGCCATGGCCGATGGTGCTGGGCAGACCATCTGTCCACCCCCAGCCAGGGACAGGTCTGCACTGGGGGAGACCGCAGTGAACAAGGGGACCCAGGGAGAAGGGCCAGAACACGGCAGGGGTCGTGGGACAGGGCATCATGTGACCCTCCCTGGCAGTTCCTGTCGGACACAAAGCTTCTGAGACTGTGACCAGGCATCGGCCACCCACAGCTGTCCACAGGCCTGTCCTGAGGGCACGTGGCACAGGCGAGCTCCCGTCGGCACCCGGGCCCCTGTGTCAGGCTGGCGAAGGGCAGTGACTGTCCACGGGAGGCGGGAAGAGCACACGGGCCGGGCCTGGCGGACGTGCAGCCCGAGTGCCCTTACGGACAAGGACGGGGAACTTCGTCTTGGACTGTGGGCATGTTGTTAGGAGGGCCAGTGACTGGGGAAGGACATTATGCAGGAAAAGGAGAGAAGTGGTGAAAAAGAGCCAAACTCTCAACAAGATGGACAGACATGGTGACCGACACCGGGCTCTGGGGCATCTGTGGCGTCGTGGGGCACATGTGGTCATCTGTGATGTTGTGGGGTCGTCTGTGGTGATGTCGGGTCGTCTATGGTGACATGGGGTTGTCTGTGCCGTCTGTGGTGACGTAGGTCGTCTGTGGTGTCGTGGGGTCATCTGTGGTGTTGTGGGGTCGTCTGTGCCGTCTGTGGTGACACGGGGCCGTCTTGTGGTGACGGGGTCCTCTGTGGTTGTGCCGTCTGTGCCGACGTGGGGTCACCTGTGGTGACAGGGGGTCCTCTGTGGTTGTGCCGTCTGTGGTGACGTGGGGTCCTCTGTAGTGATGTTGGGCCGTCTGTGGTGACATGGGATTGTCTGTGGTGACGTGGGGTCCTCTGTGGTAATGTGAGGCCATCTTGCATTCTTACTAAGCTGACCACACATGACCACCTTCACACCTACTCCACCCAGACCGGTGGACAGGAACGGGAACACCCACCGAGGAGGACACATCCCTCTGGTCAGTCAACCCCACGAGACCACAGAGGTGGCATTTCCACAAAGCTCAGTGGTAGGAAGGGGCCAGAAGAAGGACAAGTGGAAACAGGGAACCCAGGTAGGGAGTGGGTCGAGTACGGGCACTTCGGAGACTGCAGCCAACGTCACAAAGCAGTGCATGCTGTGAACCCCAGTTCAGAGGGGACCCTGTTCTTAAGAGAACACTAGGGAACTTCTGATATCAGCAAGTCTGTGAGTGTGAGGAACGGACTGGGTTGCAATGCCTGGGCACCCCCTGCTCACCTACCTGCAGTAATGCCCCACGGCCACCAGGGTGCCCACCGCACTGGGCACCACCAGGCTCACACGGGGAGCGGATGCTGGGGGCAGGTGCTGCTGAGGGGGCTCCGACTCGAGGTACCACCTGTGTGCAGCACAGAACCGCCAATGCAAGGAGGGGCTCTAACGGAAGGCCCCTGCCGTGGACAGCACACAACCCCTCCTTCTCAGGGTCCCTAACTCGAGACCCCACTCCCACCACCTCACTCGACAGTCACCATGATGGCCAGGCCCGGACGGGCCCCGGACGCTCACCTTGCTCCACGTGATGCCTGTGGGCTTGGGGCGCCTGCACCCCGTCCGGATGACCCGGGTCTGCGTGAGCACGTAGTCCACGGTGAGGTCGTGGTCCTCCAGGAGCGTCTCCGGGATGTCCACCACCTGCCGAGCAGAGAAGAGGGGCTGACGGAAGGAAGCAGGTGCGGCCGGGGCGCAGCCCTCATCCCTCCACCCTGTGAGGGTGCAGGACGCTCCATCATCACGGTCCATCACACCATGCCCTGGACGGACAGGAGGGCCGCGGGGGCACAGGAGGGCCGTGGGGACCCAGGAGGGCTGTGGGGGCACAGGAGGGCCGCGGGGCGTGGGGCAAAGGGGGGCCGCGGGGGCACAGGAGGGCCGCGGGGACCCAGGAGGGGCCCAGGAGGGCCGTGGGGACCCAGGAGGGCCGAGGGGGCACAGGAGGGCCGTGGGGGCACAGGAGGGCCGTGGGGACACAGGAGGGTCGCGGGGGCATAGGAGGGCCCTGGGGGCACAGGAGGGTCGTGGGGACCCAGGAGGGCCGCGGGGGCACAGGAGGGCCGTGGGGGCACAGGAGGGCCGTGGGGCATGGGGCACAGGAAGGCCCTGGGGGCAAAGGAGGGCCCTGGGAGCACAGGAGGGCCATGGGGGTATAGGAGGGCCGTGGGGCGTGGGGCACAGGAAGGCCCTGGGGGCAAAGGAGGGCCCTGGGAGCACAGGAGGGCCGTGGGGCGTGGGGCACAGGAGGGCCGTAGGGGCATAGGAGGGCCGTGGGGCGTGGGGCACAGGAGGGCCGTGGGGGCACAGGAGGGCCGTGGGGGCACAGGAGGGCCGTGGGGGCACAGGAGGGCCGTGGAGGCATAGAAGGGCCGTGGGGCTTGGGGCACAGGAGGGCCGCAGGGGCCCAGGAGGGCCGTGTCTTGAAGAGGTTGGGGGTTGTCACCCTCATGATCTGAGGGGTCAAAGTCCGCTGTCTGCACTGTCTGGGCCTCCCACTTTCCTGGAGGGCTCTGTGTCTGTCTGTCACACTCATGCTCTCAGGGGTCATCTGTCCATGCCTCACCCTCTTGGCAGTGACATCGGTGGGTGTGTCTCCTCACCCTCCCACTCTGAGAGGTCCCATCTGTCTGTCTGTCCCTGCCCCGCCGGCTGGCTGTTAGCACCTGGCAGTCGTGGACGACAGTGACCACGGGTGTCTCGGGGCGGACGGCCCCCATGGCCACCATCATGGCGTACTCCAGGTCAGCATAACCTTCGCCCTTCCCGATACGCCAGCCTGAGGGAGAACAAGAGGGAGACGGGCCTGTGTGGGCAGGGCCTCACTGACCGAGGGGGAGCTGCTGACCACAGGGGACGGAGAAGACCCTTCTACAACTGGAGCTACTCCTGTCCTGAGCCCACGATGACGGTCCTTCCCTGGGACTGTAACCTCACACAGTGGACGGCAGCGGGGACCGCGCTGAGCTGGTGTGCAGAGCTGTAAGTGCTCATGGTACACAACGGGCCGGCCGGGCCCAGGAGCAGCCGTGAAAACGCTCCAAACAGATTCCTGCTAAAACCAAGCGGGCCACCGGCCACCCTGGCAGGAGGCACGTGGGGAACCAGCCTGTGTGGGCCAAGACGACACACAGCCGTGGAAAACCGTCCCAGGGCCCCAGCATCACAGGAAGCTGCACTGCCTGACACAAGGCTCGCGTCTCCGGTGGTTCGAATCCACCAGTCTCCTGTGAAGATTTACAGAAACCTGAAGGAGTGTTGTTTGGAGGTGGAATGGACTCCAAGTTAATAAGTAACTGAGTGGGATTTTAAGGCGCCCTGGTGGCCCCGTGATTAAAGCACGCGGGAGTGATAACCAGCAGGCAGAGGTCGAGTCCACCAGCTGCCCCTCCATGAGGCCGTGCTAGTCCACGTCCGGGGAACCCATGGGGCATCCTGCCAGGAGGGTTGCTGCGAGCTGGCGAGGTCAGTTCCCTGGCAGTTGGCAGAGTCTGAAAGTGAAGGTTCAGTGACCATCACCATACAAACGCCTCCATCCTTCAGTGGGCAGCAGAACCTTCCAGAAGCACAGCTGCCCCACCCAGGAGGGCTCCCTGACTGGGCCTTCCTCTGAAGTGTCTGGTGGTGACGGAGGGCAGGGACACGGATGGAGGCCTCGGTCTATCCCTGGACAGATGTCAGGAAGCGGGGATTGCTATGGACCCTCAAAGGGCAGGCAGAGTGGCCACCTTCGGGGGGGCCACCGTGACCCACATGCTGCCCTGTGACCTCACCTTGTTCAGAGACGGCGACTGAGCCCACAACGACCAGGTCCACAAGGACCCTGGAGTCCAGGCCGATGGGCACGCTGTAGTCCCTGACCCCCTGGAACAGAGACCAGAGACGGCTGCAGAGACCCAGGCTCGGCCTCGTCAGGATTCAGGTCCCACCATGCCCTCCACGGGAACGTGGCCAGGAGGAAGTAACCAGCAAACGATTCATAACAGGGTCATTTTCATAAGACGGGAGACAGGTGGAAGTGGAACAGGGCTGGGTTCAAATCCGTCCTGGCCGTGTGGCTTCACGGCTTTTTGTCCCTTCAGGTCAGAGTCAGGGCTGACGTCATCACACAGCAGCAGCGGCCACGTCAGGGAACAGAGGCATTGAACACAGACAGTGGTCAGGGAGGCTGCAGGCCCACAGGTGCCGTGGGAGGAAGACGGGGACTGAACTCAGCCACTGTGCACGCCCTCCCTGGACCAGCACGGGGTTAGCTCACCACACACAGCAAGTGGGGACCCACCAGAGCCTCCACCCGTTAGAAGGTGTTCCATCATACATGCTGCAAAACAACCACACCTCTGGGCCTTCAGAAGTCACTCGAGTAGGAACACAGAGCGGCCCCGCTCAGCTGGGGGACGTGCTCAGGTGGGGATGTGCTTAGGTGGGAGATGTGATCAGGAGAGGGATGTGCTCAGCTGGGGGATGTGCTCAGGTGGGGCCCTGCTCAGGTGGGGGGTGTGCTCTGGTGGGGCCCCTCTCAGGTGGGGGATGTACTCAAGTGGGGACGTGCTCAGGTGGGGACGTGCTCAGGTGGGGACGTGCTCAGGTGGGGGCCCTCTCAGGTAGGCGCGCCCTGTGGCCATTCTTGAAGCTCTGTGCCTATGTGGCAGGTCAGCACTAGAGGGCGCAGGGCACCTAGGATGCCCTCCTCCCGCTGGTCTCAGCCCTGCCAAGACCCTTACCTGGGAGGTGGCACACTTCCTCAGGATGTCCTTTGTCGCCCCAGGGGGTGGCACGATCTTATTGAACAGCCCCGTCCTCAACCGTGGTGTTGGAACCAGTAATGTTTTGTGGCTCTTTTAAAGGAAAGAGGGTCATGCGTTACAAAACCACACCTGGGCACCTACTGGGGGAGTGTTAGTTACCCAGGGAAGAGGTGGATTTCTGCCATTTGCTTGTGCACGTGAAAAGGCAATGACTTTTCTGTGAAACCAGCCCAGTCTCGTGTGGGGTGCGCTGGCGGGTGGGGACACGTGGTGGCTGCTGTGGGCCGTGGGGAGAACTGCGTGGCACTGCGCCTCCCACACAGGGACGGAAGGACAGTGGCCGCTGCTGCTGCTGCTGCTGGGATATCATCAGAGTGACTCGCTGACAGGGAGCCAGGCAAGAGCAGCTTCTGGAGTCCAGGGGACAGCGGCCCTCCTGGAGCTGAACCCAGGGGGCTCTGTGCGCTGTCCCCTACACATACCCAGCTGGTGCTGTGGCCGCAGCAGGACCTGCTCACTGTCCACGTTAGTGCCCTGGGCTTTCCCTGCACAGACCACTCAGCAGCTCTGGTGGTGCAGGGGGGCAAGCACTGGCTGCTACCTGAACGGCCCGTGGTTGGAACCCACCAGCTGCTCAGGAGGAGAATGTGGCCATCTGTCTCCAAAAAGACAAGCGCCTCAGAGCCCTTGGGCAGCGTGAGGTCCTGCAGGGTCGCTACATGCTGGCTTGCTCAGTGCAGGTGGCAGTTGTGCTGAGCTGGGAAGCACAGCTCTAAGTCATTATGTACCATGAGAACACGTGTGTCACACACAGGGTTACCCAGGTTCACAGAATAATGATACAAATGTGAGAAAACCTCAAACAGGCATGCTGTCATGAGTCTTCAGCCGCCTCCCCTCCAGCCTTCTGACACCCTTTATCTCCAAGAGGGGAAACACCTAGGACGAGACAGCCGGTGGTCCCCTTTCCTGATGGGGGGCTCCCTGTGTGCCCATGTTCTGGGAAGCGGAGTTACCTGCAGTGCCAGCAGCCGGACACCCTCCAGTGGCTTATCGGGGTCCACCTTGACCTCCCGCGTCCTGGCAAACGCATCTAGCTCCCTGATGTTCTCACAAGCCTGGCGCGAGCCCTGGTGGACAAGCACAGAGGTGCACTTACTTCCAGGACGAAGAAGCGAACGTTTTTCTGGGGCGCGTCAGGGTTCACTTTGACAGTCCTGGCCGCTCTGAACTCTGGCAGGCGGGGGAGGTGTTCGGCAGCCCGAGGAGCACCCTATTTTCAAGTGGACAGGCCCATTAATGAGAGGGCACCCACTGTGGTGGACGCCCATCGCCACCGAGACCACTCCAACCCTGAGGACAGAGTGGAACCGCCACAGGGTTTCTGCAGCTGTCACCTTCACGGGCAGGGTGACAGCCCTGTCTCCCTCAGAGCAGCAGGTGGGTTTGAACTACTGACTTCTGGTTTAGCAGCTGAGCTTGACTGCTGCCTTCCAGAACTCTCAGGGTCTAGCACGTTCATCACTTGTTTCCAAAGGGGTTAAGGGTCAGGTTGCACTTGGTGGCCTACCCCTTCTAGAACATTCTTAGGGAGGCCAGGTTATGTGACAAGGCATCAGAGCAAGACACACTCCACACCAGCCAGAAGCCCTGGTGGTGCAGCTGGTACCATGTCATGCTGCTAATTAAAACGTGAGGCAGCCCTGGTGGCCTCGTGGGTAAAGAGCTGTGTTGCTAACCCAAAGCTACATGGTTCAAATCCACTAGCTGCTCTGCAGGAAGAAATATGAGTAATCTCCTCTAGTGCAATTTATTGCTTCTGAAAACCTCACTGGAGGGTCAGCTTTGAGTCAGTTCTGACTTGATGGGCCACAACCAGCACCAAAAGGTCAGTGGTTCAAGAGCAGCAGCTGCCCCACCAGGAAGAGGACAGTTTCCTCTTGTAGGACTGACAGCCCCGAAACCCGAGGGAGGGCCACAAGGACCTGGAACGAACTCAGCGCCAGTGCTGTGCCTTCTTCTGTATCAAATGGTGGCGAGTCAGTGAACACCACCTCATCTCCAAGACACAGCCAACTGCTCAGAAAGGAGTGTGGTCTTTGGATGTGAAGGTCAAGAGGATGAGGTCTCCAAACATCAGCGAGCTTGGTGGCCCTAAACTCACAGTCCCTGGTTCTCACCAGCGGCAGCAAGCAGCTGGAGCCCCACCAGTCACACAGACCCATCCTGTCTCCTCCAGGCCCACGTCCACTCTCATACCTTGAAGTTTGGGATCCTGTGATGAACGGGCCGTGGGAAGTCAGCCAGGTTCTGTGACTCCATGTAGTCCCAGATTTTCTGGCGGATGTCTTGTTTGGTGACACCTGGGGGAAAGCACGTGCTTAGCAGTCAAGTGAAAAGGGTGGGATCCTTTGTGGGCTCGACGACTCCCTCCCTCCACACCTGTGCTTTCTGTAGAACAGGGTACAGGCAGACCTCCCTGTACTGCATTTACCAGCAAACTATTGCTTTTACGAGTTAAAGATCTGTGGCAATGCTGTGCCTAGCAAGTGTCAGCACCATTTCTCAACTGCATGTGCTTGTTAGACTCCAGTCCTCTCCCAATAACTCCCTTCCTCTGAGGAAGACCGTAAAACTGCTCCGAGGGTTTCCTAGGCCGTAAGTACTGTGGGAGCAGAGGGCAAGGCTGCTTTCCTCCAGCGACTGGTGGGCTTGAACCACCAACCTTTCAGTTAACTGCCAAGTTCATAACCATTGAGCCACCATGTTACTTAAGAGGCAAGGATGGTGAAACTGTGTCTCACATACTTTGGCCTTGCTGTCAGGAGGGTCCTGTCCTTGGGAAAAGTCAGGATGCTGGGAAGGTGAAGGGTGAGAGAGAGGAAGGCCCTCAACAAGATAGGCTGAGGCAGTGAATTAGCCACGGGCTTGCACGAGTCAGAGACGGTGAGGACAGGACAGGGCTGGGATCGGCTGTTCACAGGACTGTTAGGGGTCATGGTCGGCTCAGGGCACTGGGCATCAAATCTACTCCGCAGGGAGCTCTGGCGGTCAGCCCCTAGCGGGCTGCGCTCTGACATGAACTAGGAACTCAGTACGCAGGGAAGCCGGCATCTCCACGAGGCCACGGTCAGAATCTCTGGACGTTCGGTTCTGCTGGCCCAGAAGACACCCCTGATCCCAACTGCCTTTGGAATCACCTGACTTGTTTTGCCAGCTTCTTGAATGGCCAGCGCGTGCCAGCGATTAACACACACGGCTGGGCAGTGGGTAATCGCTGTGGTCAGCAGTTCGAACCCCTGAGCCACTCCCGGGGGGGGGGGGGGGGGATGAGGCGCCTGCTTCCGTAGACACGGGCAGGAGGGCCCCGTGTCTGCATGGACGGCGGGCGTGCCGACAGCGCTGTCACTTCTCCCCTGGGCCCAGCGCCCGCCCGGCACCCGGCTGGGGGAGGGGGTCGATCGCCGGCCGCCCCCTCCCGGCGGCCGCTGCACCCCACAACCTCTTGCTGACCCTCACCCGCCCTGAGCTCCATCGCGACGCGATTACTGCGCGACACCTCACGACAAACCCTGGCGCCGAGTGATGTCATCAGCTCCGCGCCCCGCGCGCCTGCGCACTGACCGCGGGCGCAAGGCCTTGGGAAACGGGCGGGGTCCCGCGGGACGGGGGCGTGACCACGGGGAGGGGCCTTCGCGAGACGTGGGTGTGGCCTGGGCGGGGCCTTGTGTAGGTGGGGCCGGGCCGGGCGTGGTTGAGTGCGCATGTGCGCGCGGTGCCAAGCCCAGGGACTACGTTTAGGGTCGCGCATTTTATGCCAGTTTTGGAAACTGGAGTGGATCCACTGCCTAAACGGCTTGCCTCTGGAAACTCCAAGATAAATGTCGATAGCTGTAGAAGGGCTTCAGGCCTTTGTTCATAGGGTCGCTATGAGTCGGCAATCAACAACAACAACGTGTAGTTCACAATTTTGCTTATGTCTTTAACACACGTTCTGCTGAGCTCCTCTCAGAACCTCCTCTAAGCCCGCTCCAGCTCCATCCTCTCTGCCAACTCGAACCTACCCTCCTTCCTCAGAGCGGAAAGGAAGCCCTTCTCCTCCGGGAAGCCCGCCAGACTTGCTCCTCCCTATGGGGTTTTTCCTGCAGCACGCCTGGTGGGCCTGCTCGGTCCGGCTGGTCAGGAAGGTCAGCATGGGCTTCGCTGGTGGGCCTGCTCGGTCCGGCTGGTCAGGAAGGTCAGGTTGGGCTTCGCTGGGCCGGGGGATCTGCTGGCCTAGTGTGGGTGGTTCCAGCCCTGGCCTCTAGAAACCAGGGTGCTCCTTAAAGGCCAGGATGATGAGGCTTTCATCTCACATACTTTGGGCCTGTGGACAGCGGGGGCCAGTCCCCGAAGGATATCATGCTGGGAAAAGTAGGTCAGGAGAGGAAGACCCCCAGTGAGGCTGCCTGACACAGTGACTGCAGCAGTGGGAAGCAGGCAGGCACGGTGAGGATGGCCCAGGACCGGGCAGGGTGTTCTGCTGTGCACGGAGCTGACCAAATGGCATCTAACAACAGGTAATAAACCCTCTAGTGGTAGCCACGTCTCAAAATTACTGTTTGTAAGCCGCTCACACCAGGCCGCCCTGAGCACGCCATTAGAATACCCTTTTGTTGATTTTAAGTACTGCCCAGTCAGTGCTGATGCATCCATCACACCCCCGGCCCAGCTCAGCCCTGCCCTGCGCCATCCTCGCCATCCTCACCAGCCCTGTGTGCTTGGGCCCTTGTCTGCAGCCATGAGCCCTTCTCCTTGAGGGTGTTTTTCGCAAACTCTCTTTTCCAAGCATGACGGCCTTCTCCAGGGCCTCGCCTCTCCAGCAAACATGCCCAAGGACATGAGATCAAGGCTCATCACGCTCCCTTCTCAGAGCCCCTGCCTGCACAGCTTCCCGGACTTGTGTTCATGCTTCTGGATGTCAGTAGTCTTCACCAGCGCGCAACCCAGAGCCATTGCGTTTTGGCCGTCCTTGTTCATTGTCCAGCCTTCGCCTGAGCATAGCATCGTCATGTTTTTAAACTTTTATTCTTGGTTTGGGTGGCAGTTTGCAGAGCACATGGATTTTCCATTCAACCATTCATGCACATTTCGATTTTTGACATTTATTTCAGTCCTCACAATGTAACAACACAATTAAAAGGTTGAAAACACGAATAGTTGCTGTAGCATGGACTGCCAAAAATAACGGCATGTTAGAGAAAGTACCACAGAGTGCTCTGTGGAGGCACAGAGAACAAAGCTTTGTGTCACGTTCTTTGGGCATGTTGTTAGTCCTTGGAAAGAGGCATCATGCTTGGAAAGGTGGAGAGTCCGAGAAAGAGGAGACGCTCCAGCAGATGGCTTGACACAGTGACTGCAGCAGTGGGCTCGAGTGTGTCAGAGATGGTGTGGAGGGCACAGGACAGGACAGGGGTCGGCTCTGTTGTTCTCAGGGACTCTGGGGTCCTACTCACATGACTTAGGTGCCCAGCAACATCAACAACCACAATAGGCTACAGTAACGACAACTTGGGTATGCAGTTTGAACACACCAGCTCCTCCTCAGGAGAAAGGTGGGCAGTCTTCTTCTGTGCAACTAGAGCCTCTGAAAACCCACTGGAAGGTCATTCTGACTTGATGGCACAATTGCAACAACAAATAGGCTTCAGGTTTTAAAGAAACTAACAAAGGGAAAACGCCAGAAGGCTGTAGCCTAGGAAACCGTGGGAGCCCTTAGACTCTGTCATCCAGGGTCACCAAGGGTCTAGACGGGGGAGGGCGCACAGAAATAACTACTTAAAGGCATAGAGGGGACCGACAGGGGAAGTCAGAACCCTCCATGTGCACTAGAAGGCAGGGGGGGACCAAGGAAGGCCGGGAACCCACATGCTAAGTTGATGGGTGCACACACCAAGTTTCTATTTCACAACACTGAGAACGGCTCAGGTCAGGTCTGACAGCCCCTGCTGTCAACAGGAGAGGGCTCAGTCCTCCCAGCACACGCGTTCCCATCCTTAACCACCCAGCAGCAGCCAGTCCTCGGCTCTGCCGCCGAGTCAGGAGTAGCAGCAAGAACATTTTCCCGAGATACGTTGGTAGCTCCAGACACACACACACAAATGAGCTGGATGTGAGCCCGGAAGATGTGGCCAAAGAAGTTTTTTTCGAGGGAAGAGTCTATAGTATTGGGATTTTTAGCCACATCTATGGAAGCAGCAGTCCAAAAATAAAAACATGTGTTGCACTGGGAAAATCTGCAAAGGTAATCTTGAAAGTATTAAAGAGCAAGGATGACACTTTGAAGACTAAGGTGTGCCTGATCTAAGCCATGATATTTTCAATTGTCTCATAAGCAACGAGCAAAACTCATTGTCATTAAGTTGGAAGCAACTCAGCACTGACCCTCCAGCAGGTTTTCGGATGTTGTGAATCACACAGTACTGTCTGTCTTTTCCCCAGGGCTGCAGGTGGGTTTGAACTGCCGGAGTAGTGCCACCTTTGGGTCAGCAGCACAACTCCCCATGCTACCAGTGGGCAAAAAATAAAGATGACTGAATTGTGGTGTTGCCAGAGAGTACAGCACATGCCAGGGGCCGCCAGGAGAACAGACACATCAGCCTTGGAAGAAGGTCGGCCAGTACGTCCTCAGAAGTGATGATGGTGAAACTTCATCTCCTACACTTTGGGTATTATCTCAGGAGGGTCTGAGTCCTGGAAGGACATCGTGCTTGGTGAGCAGATGATTGATGAAGAAGAGGAAGACCATCAGTGAGCTGCACTGACGCAGCGGCTGCAGCAGTGGGTCCAGCACCGCAGAGGTCATGCGGAAGGCAACAGCTGGGGTTCATCCTGTGGTCCCCGTGGGAACGGAAGCATTAACACCTACTTCCCAGCCACTGGAGCCAAAGGCGAAGAAATGGAGTTCTACCAACTTCCCAGTCTGAAACGGATCAAACCTGCAGCCAGGATGCATCAGTAATAACTAGTAGTTGGAATTTGAAAGTTGGAAGCAAAAAGAGAATTAGAAATAGTAGCCGGGAAAATATGGCCTTGGTGATTCATCCAAACGGGGCTGCAGATGGCAGGACAGACTTTTGAAAGACCAACAACCTATTAACTAACAGCCATTGTCTTTCCCCTCCACCACCCCTTCATCGTGCTTTGCCGTTCCTTTCAGCCTCTTATTTCTTTCTACTCTCTCCCTCTCTCCTCCTCCCTCTCAAGAGGTCTCTGTGTGTAATCCTGCCCTCAGCTTTCGACAATAGTGATCTTACACCAGACTTCTCCCTTTGTGACTGACTGTGTCACTCAGCACATTTGTCCTAGTTTTATCGACCTGTGCGGCATTTCATGAAGCCCTGATCCTTTTCATGTTGCTCAATACTCCCGTGTGAAGCTCCAGTACTCCCATCTTCATTCCCTGGAGCAGTTGGAGGTTTCAAACCATGTACCTTTGGGTTGACAGCACAATTCCTTACCATGTAACCCATAGCCTTCAGTGTGGATTATATCTCAACATCGAGAAAACAAAGGTCCTCATCACGGGGCCAACAGTTACCATCAAGAAAGATGGAGAAAGAATTGAAGTTGTCAATGATTTGATCTTGCCTGGATCGACAGTAAACACTCTTGGTACCAATAGCCAGGAAATCAGGAGACATATTACATTGGACAAGTCTACTATTAGGGACTGCTCCAAAATACTTGAGAGCAATGATGTCAGTTTGAAGACTAAGGTGCTCCTGATTCAGGACATGGTCTTTTTAATCATCTGCTATGCATCAGAGAGCTGGACAGTGACTAAGGATGGCAGAAGGACTACAACCTTTGGGTTGTAGTGTTGGAGAAGAGCACTGAACATCCCTTGGACTGGCAAAAGAACAAATGGATATGTCTTGGCAGTAGTGCAGCTAGAGAGCATCTTGGAAGCAAAGATGATGAAGTTTCATCTTTCATTCTTTGTGCATGTTCTTAGGACAGGCTATCTATGACTCAGCGGCACTTAACAACAGTAACAATGAGAGCGCTCTCTTGACCTAGTGGATAGAAAATGATGCTACCAAGCCAAAGGTGGTGGTGGTGGTTGTTGTTATGTGCCGTCGAGTCGCTTGCAACTCATAGCGACCCTATGTACAACAGCCCTAAACCGTGCTCTATCCTGTGCTAATTGCACTGCCTCTGACACACCCAGCCCGATTACCCCAGTCACTGAATCAATCCACCTCATAGAGGGTCTTGCCCTCCTGCACTGTCCCTTCCACCCTACCAAGCATGATGTCCCTCTCCAATGACCTGTCTCTCCTTACAACATGTCCAAAGTATGTCAGATGAAGCCCCAGAATCCTTGCCTCCAAGGAGCAGTCTGGTTTAACCCTCTCCAGGATGAATGTTTGTTTTCTTGGCAGTCCAGGGTACATTCAATACTCTTCTCCAGCACCACAGCTCAAAAGCATCAATTCTCCTTCTATCCTCCCTAGTCATTGTCCAACTCTCTGATGCATAACAAGTGATTGC